TATATATATATATATAAATATCTTTAGATTGTTATCACTCAAACACTAATGTAAAAGCAGAATTTCTCTCTTGTAGTTGGTTGAGGTGGAGCTCATGTTGAACTATTAACTAACGATTATTTTCATTATCATTTAAGATGTACTTACATAAACTGTTGGTTATAACAAAACATATTTTACAAATGACCCTGATGACGACCTGTGAGTCACGACGCATGGTCTTTCTGATATATGTTGCCATGTAAAATAAAGGAATTTTAATTTTTGCACACAGCCTACAGTGTGCCTTGGGTTTTTTTTATTATTAGAAGACTTGCTTTTTGTATTTTTTGATTGAGAGTATACTTCACTCATTTAACCAGCCCCTCACAAGATGGAGTCAACACAGTGCACCTGAAAAGAGCACCTGTGTGACAACTACTAAGACCCAGCAGCGCTTCTACTCCTTTGTCTTCATATTTTATAAATGCTTCATGTTTTCTGTGCATGCAAGAAGTCAAATAAATGTAGCACAGTAAAAAGTACAGTATTTCCCTCTGACGTGTGTACGGAGTAGAGGTAGAAGGGGGTATGAATAAACGGTACTTGAGTAAATGTACTTGATTACATTCCATCAATGGACATTTTGCATTGAGTACTTTCACTTTTGATACTTTAATTACATTCTGCTGGTAATACTCGAATACTTTTACTTGAGTAGAACTTAGAATGCAGGATTTTACTTTCTACACTGTGGTATTTTACTCAGGTAAAGATCAGAGTATTTCTGGTGACACTTTGCTTTTGTTACAGTCCAGTACCTATGAATCTGGCCTCCATCCTGTAGCAGCTTTGTGAAACTGAAAAGATTTTCCATCATTAAACTTCTGAACAAAATAATCAATACAAATAAGAACTGCAACAGTCAATTCATCTACAGAGATACTCTTGAGAACTGATTAATCATATAAGTTGATTATTTTTATCTTCTGTGACATTTAACTGAATATTTTTTCAACTTTTTTTGACCACACAATTAATGGAGAAAGAGATTTGCAGATTAAAGGATAATTAATCTTTAGTTGCAGCCTTAAATACACAAATTAAAGAAGAAAATAAAAACAGTACAACAAAAAAAATGCAATTTGTTCAACTTTATTGAGAAAAAAACCATCACAGAGCTATTAGTTGATCGATCAGCCGTTGAGAGCTTTGAGTTTCATCTTCAGTGCAAAAAGAGGAGAACAGTGTTGGATGATGGATGAACTAACGGCTCTCTCGTCTAAAAACAACAAAACAAAAACAGAATAAAACCCAAAAAAGCTGTCATCATCTTTTTTTTGTATTTTTTTGTTTGTTTGTTTTTTATCTCAGCAGCACATGAACCAATCACTGACATGCATTAAATTATTTTATAATTGTAACAGTTCTCTCTTCAGTCCACTCTGCTTCATGTTCTTTTGTTTTGCAGTTGGCACATTCACAGCTCAGAGTCCTCAGCCCTTCACCTGGTTTACTTATTTTTTTTTTACTTTAATTTTGAAAAGCAGAGAAAAATCAAGAGTTTAAAAGCATTTAGGACAAAAAAGAAATAATGAACAAATTGCTGTTATTGGCTGATGAGAGGGAGGGGAGGGGGCGTGGCCACATGAGAAAATCAGTTTATTCCAGCAGTGAGTGAGAAGAAGAAGAAGAAGAAGAGGAAGATGGATCACATGGCGTATTTCTGAGTCCAGTCCTGAGCCGTCTTGTTGTACCTGCAGGTAGAGAAACACACGGGTGAGTCAACGTCTGTCAGCTGTTCACAGAGAGCAGGGACGATGCCATGCCTGCAAACACAACACACACTCAGTGCTGCAACACAACCTGCTGCAGATTGTAAAACAATGTACAGACGCACACAGACGTGATCCCGCTCATCATCTCTTATGACCCGCTGTCAGTGTGAGGTGGTCACTCTGCTCAGGGCTGAGCTGTGGCTGGTTTTGAGGCGCATGTAACCACTGTTCATACTGTGGCAAGTCTTACATATATTAGTGAACTATAACTATAAAATGAAAGGATGTTTTGCTGCCTCTCGCAGCAGCTGGAGTCTGAGAAACTATTTAATTCACTGGGCTGACTGCCGGCAACTTTTAAGGTGGAACATTAACTTGTAATGTTACTCAATGCATGAGTTGACGACATGAATCCATCAGCACACCTTAAATTTCACTGTGACAACTTGAGTGGATCTTCGAGTGTTTAAAAAGATATATGAACTTTGACAGGAATATACAAACTGCATATTCTAATCCTCACTTCCTGTGGGCTACAGCAACACTAAACCCCTGAGCTTGCCTGAGAAGGACTAAATGCACAAACCTGCTATTTTTAAATATCCCATGGAGAGAGACTCTCACTGCAGCCTGTTCTATTTTGTTGTGAAAATGTGGGCGTGCAGCCTCGTTCTGTGGATGATAAACCAGGTGCAGACTTCCATCTGTGTCACCGCTGATGAGGAAATACAGCGAGTGCTGGACGGAGCAGTGAGTGACAACAACCCCGCCCACATTTAAGAGGACTGTCTGAACAGACCGAGGGTCTAGGTACCATGTCTGAAGGCTTACTGCTGGTTCCAAAGGCACTGGACTGAAAGAGTTTGGTGGAAATGGGGCTTACATGCTGCATTTTAATTCATCTTAAAAGTATAATTTTAAGGTACTTTCCTTGAGTATTTCCATTTTCTGCAACTGTACTATAATGTATTCAACAGCCTTAGTTACGTTTCAGTTAATTTTATGTTAAAACAATGTTTGTTTCTGAAATTCAACACATCGTTAAAGATTAAACCAAAACCTTTTCTGTCTGTGACCTCTTGTAAAAGAGTGTTGCTGTGTCTGCATGTCAAATGTTTTCATTTAAATCATCATTTAAGGCTCAAAGAAGAAGTACTTTTATTACATTTTGCTAATTCTTATGTGCTTTCACTTTAGGAGCTATTTGAATGCAGAACTTTTACATGTAATGGCATACTTTTGCACTGTAGTCTTTTTTATGATATATATATATATAACTTAAGTAAATGATTTGAGTACCACTTCCATCACTGCATGTGATCCCAGGTGATGCTGCATCACATGCCCAAGTATTTAGTCATGTTTCACTTCCTTTACTTTCAGCCTGACTTACGTTTAATGTGAACACAGATAGTTGAGAGAAAAACAAATTATTTCAGAGACAAAAGTCCAGGCAGGAAGTGATACTAGTGCTGTGGTTGAATTAAGTCATTATCTCATGTTACCAGTATTGTATCGCTTTCATTGATTAAAATAAACCCACTGAAGTGTCTCTTTCTTTCTGCATGCAGGTAAAAAAAAAAAGGCAGTTAATTCAGACGAGGCAGAAACTGTCGACGTCACTGTTTTTTCATGTTTTAGCTCAGTTTTCATTCCTGCTGAACCGTTTTTAAACTAATAATCAGATTTTATAATCATCTCCTTCCTTCCACACAGCCACTGTGTTTAGTTCAGTTTTTAAACATTCTTGCTGACTAACAGTCACAGTTTGTGTTTTAAGTGTCACATTGTCTTCTCAAAGTGTTTTGTTGACTTGCAGAAATGTAAAAGATTTCTAGTTTTAATTCGAGAGGCTAAAACATGAAAGATCAGCAGCTCAGACTGACTTTATATCTGGAGCCATGCTTTGCATCAACGTGCTTCAAGTTTTTACAGAAACATTTTCCTTCAGCAGGCAGCTCAGGTGAGTTAACTCTGCTCCAATCAGACGACAGCTCAGCTCTTACCCCTCACAGCATGGCATACTTCTCTGTCCACTCCCTGGCTAGCCTGTTATACCTGAGACAGACACTCTGGTTAAAAACCTCCACGCTGCTGCTGCTGCGTCAGACTCAGGTTTATACTGTGTTTATATTTGAGGGTAGATTTAAAGGGTTAGTTCGGATTTTTTGAAGCGAGGTTGTATGAGGTACTTATCTACAGTCAGTTTATTACGTACAGTAGATGTCCGTCTGCATGCCCGCAGTCTGACGAAGCAGACAGGAGTGTCGTGATGGAAGCTTTAGAACGTTTTCACCACCTTACCTTACCGTCAGACGGCCCTGTCCAACAGGGAACTGAAGCCAATATATAATTCGCTTTAAAGCCACTATCCCCTTTGACAAAATAGGTGGAAGTTGCTCATTTACTGCTGTCTTGGTTGTCTCCTCCTGGCTTAGCTTCTGTGGTAGTACACCTGTCTGCTTCTCCAAACTGGGCGCGTGCTGACTGACATCAACCTCATACAACCCCACCTCAAAAAAATCAGAACTATCCCTTTAGATTAGTCGTCCCGAAAAAAACTGAACACCAGCCTCCAGAGAAAAAAAAAAAAGATATAAAAACACTAAATATTTTGTATGTTAATTTCTTACCTGCGTCATAAAGATGAGGGAGGATGAAAGTTTTGCTCTTGATTTAATTTTTGAACTTAACTACTGGTCATTTACTTTATTTCACAAATTTTTATCTGCAAAGGTCTTGTTTATTTTATATATATTTCCCTTCCTGCTCAGGAGACAAACAGGAGCTGATGTTTGGGAAACACTGCCTTTTATTTATTGACTGTATGTTCTTTTGGGCGTCGCCATTTATATACAGTACATCTAAAAAGGTAGGTAGGTAGATTGTAACCGTGATGAGATTGATTCTTTTTTATTTCACAGATATGAACTCACCTAACAGGGTCTGTTTTGTAGATGCGGGCGATCTCTGGCACTAACGGGTCGTCAGGGTTCGGGTCACATAACAGAGAACAAATGGACAAAAGGACTGCAGACAGAAAAACAGGCGTTTAAAACATCACCGACATTTCAATATTTTTACAACTGAAATCAAAGTTGGCTTCTGAGACATGACTAAGTATGTTTTCACTGATGGTGAAATTTGTAAAACTTTGAATAAAGTAAAAGCCAAAGATTTTTACTTTTCTTGTTCACTCATTTTTGTTTTGTAAAGCCTGAATGCCCGATATGAATCTTATCTTATGAATATCACTTTAAGCCAAATTAATTAAACCCAAAATGCGCGCACACACACACACACACACACACACACACACACACACACACATCTCACCTTTAGAGATAGTTAATGCAGGAGACCACTGTGATCTCAATATATCCAAGCAGATGCTGCCGTTACTGTTAATATTTGGGTGATAAATTCTTGTTGTGAAGGCGACCTGACGGGAAGAAGAAACAGAAACACTGAGAAACATCTTTACAGATCAGAGCAGCTTCTGTACGTCACCTAAATGCAAAGTCTGAGCTCTTCTCCCATGTGGAAGACAGAGCTGGCTCGCCTTAAAGCCGGCAGCAGAGGTAGTAACAGTGCTAAATTGATGTTTGTGTGAAAGGGACAGCTGGTAGGAGGGGATCATGGATAGGCTGGGTGTGAGGTTTTGACGGTATATTATGTGTGCGACCCACCACTAGCAGTTAGCAGCTAACTCAAAAAAGAAGAACAGCAACCGAAAATGTGGGAAGAAATGAGGCCCGCAAGGTCCTTACCCTCCAAGCAGAGGACGAGATCTACCGCAATAAAACAGGGACGGTAAATTATTGTTATTGCCACATTATCCCATTGTTATTGTTTAGATAACACCGATCGGCGCGTATGTCATATGTCACATTAGAGGCTGACGTTGTTTTAAACGTCACGTTTCTTTTGAATCCAGAACGCCGGCATTCTGTCTAAAATCACACACTGTGGCGGCATGATGCCAGCGTGGTCTGGTCCTGTCTAAAAAAGTGAAGCCGGAGTGATGAAGGGTCTTTGTTGTGGCAGTTTTGAAAGATCTCTGTGTAAAAAGAGCTTTAAATGACCACACCTGAGCCTGATGCTGCGTTAGGACCTGATGGTTTCAGGTCAGACAGCTAAACTATAGTTGGAAGGAAAATTTAAAAATATAAAAAACATTTTTTTCCAGCAACGCACATGACATCACCTCGTAACCAATTCTGCTCACAGGACAAAATCACATCTAGTTTCCTTTCATGTCCATTTTAAGTATCATTCAGGTTTATTAAATCATTCTTTCCTACTCCAAGAAATTTATATAGACTGTGTTTTTACATTCAAACCCAAAACTCACATTTGAAAACATCTAATTTACAAAAAAATAAAACAAACAATGTCTTTTGAGGTGATAAAGTCTGTGTTAACAAGACACTGAAGACGTCAGAAAGATGAGTGAGAGGAGCTTCTTACTGACCTTGGGTGGTTTGAAGGGATAATCTGTAGGGAAATGAATAGTCAGGAAAAATACGCCACCCTGATAGGGACTGTCAGGCTGCAGCAGAAAAAACACAGGAAGAAGAACAGAGGTTAAACATTCATATGTTCACACACCATCACTCCTCAGAATACTTCACGTTAACTGTGCTTTAATAATTGTTTTAGTAAAGTCATACTTATACTTTGTAATACTACTGGGGACAAATAAAGTGTTTTGAACTGAATTTGAATTGTGCATTACATGACACATGTACATCATAAACTTTCACTGTTGTGTCGACCACAGTATATATATTTTATATCTGATATTACATGTTGTTTGTTCATTTCTGCTATATTTTATGTCAAAGACTGCCATTTTGTCCTTGCATGTTTTTCCTCTTTTCTTTTATTTAATGAACTCTGTTGGACAGAGCCTGAGCTGTAAGGCTTTCATTGGCAACAACTGCCTCTCTGTACTCTGTACTGCATATGACGAATAATAACTTGACGCGTTTTTGGACCAACGGAAGTTTTTCATAGTTCTCAAGAATCCCCCCTTTGTTATTGTGTCAGCACCACAAAAACAAGGAACAATTGTAGTTCTGTTTTAAGGGGCTTTTTTAGTTCTTATTTAGGAGTAGATATTCTCACAGCACAAGAGAAATCATGAGTGATGCAACTGAGTGGTGACTGATTGACCATATTTGTCAAGGCAGCACCGGCTTTACCAACCACTGGCCAGTTTGCCTCATCTTCAGTGTTCCTATACGCAGTGTGAATGTAAACAGAAGAACAGCTCTGTTCTCAGGGAGCTCCAGAGTGGATTGTTCCTCTCATGGAGTCCCCTGAACTGTCCGACCCAAACATAGATCAGTCACTTCACTGCCTGAACAAGAAGCTCGTACTGACATCTTTGAACTGATGCTGCTTTCATCTACAACAGTTGAACAAAGCGCTTTGCAGGTGATTAGGAAGTTGACGTAGCTAGGTATTTCGAATGTTTTTGCAACTTTGCAGCAAACGTCTGTTGAAAAGCCTTTTCCACAGCAGATAATTTGGTTTGTTAAAGCAGGAAACACTCAGGTTTAATTAATGACATTAAAAACAACTGCATCCCATCCAGGTGAGCTGGCTCCAGAGCGTTGGCATTGTGTATGCTGACTCACTGTTATGACACCTGATGGAAGTGAGACATTGTTAATGAAATCAGTTACAACTGTGATTTCCCTGCCGTGACAAGTCAAATTATATTCTGTGAAGAAGGTCTCTATCGTCACTACAGACTTTCTAGCGGACGCAGAAGGTGGCCCTCGAGAAATGGGAACACTGTGGATGTGTGCAGGGGCTGAAATCAGAAGGCTACCCGTCACACAGGCAGGTAAATGTTCGCACCAAAACAGACGTATAATAAAAAACTATGCTGCGTCTGCACCGCATTTTGGTGTCATTTAGAAGCGCACTGCTCTGCGGCTCCTTTGCTGTCAGTGTCAGAGTTTCACACACACACACACACACTACAAATGTGTTTTTACACATGTGTAAACGGTGCCTCAAGTTGATCGTCTCAAGTGCTCCTAGTTTTTTGGCACTATTTACCATACCGGATGTCAGCTGATCTGCTAAAATATCACTTGCCACCGGTCTGCTGCTCACTATCATGATGCTAAAGTATAGCTGAGAGTTATGAGTTGCTCCCATCTGTAGTCTGAATTAAAACGACAAACTTTTTTATTGACTCCCACATTGTCAACGGCAGTGCATTACAGCTTCACTCTGTCTGTTCTTACCTTTCAGAGTAAAAGCCACAGACACACACACTGCATCACTGCTTACTAGAGGGAAGTTACTGTCATACTGAGGCTGTGGTGATGAATTGTTTAATATACGGAAATTGTTTTGCTTCAGATTTTGCTTTGGCCTCTTCTTTAAGTTTGTATTCACCGTAATACCTGATTATCTCAATAAAATTTACTAAAACAAATGTATGTGTGAGGCAAAAAGACTATTCACTATTTTGGCCAGTGGATTTTCAGCCCCTGTGGCCAGTGAGTCAAAAAGTTTTGGCACTAATATTTTGGACACAGACAAGCCAAAAAAATACTTTCTCATGAGTGGCAGGATTTTACTTAACAAAAAATGAAGCACTCTTGTTTTTGCTAAAAACATATCTATTTCCATGCACACAAAAGGCTAATTTCTCTCAAATCCTGTGCACAAATTTGACCTTTAATTGTGACCAGCCCAGGACACACCTGTGTTATTATCATGTTATTTAATCAGCATCTTGACAGCTGTCAGGTGGACGAATTATCTTGGCAAAGGAGAAGTGCTCAATTAGTGCACATAACTTAAGAAAAACAAGTTGTCTGTGTGCATACAAAGTCTTACTTTTTTATTTTAGCTCATAAAAATGGAAGCTTATATA